CATGGGTACACACCTAAGAGGAGATTTGTGACCATTTAACGCTTATCCGTTAAATAGCTACAACTAACGTTTCAATCTAACACTCTAATGGCCAACTTGTTCTAACACAAAGCTGGAGCCGTTAACAAAATCTAACGCTTGCATCTGATATCTTGAGTGGTAGAACAGGGGGTTCATTAAGGGCCGGGCACTGGGCAAATTGACCGGCTGTGAACACGACTTTGCCCAGCTGCTTTACATCTCAAAGAACTTTTTATTATAAGGAACGATCAAAAACAGTTTTAAGTTACAATAGTGCCCTGAAATTTTAAAGATAAGTTGTTAACTAATACTTTTGTGATTCACCTTCTAGCGAAAACTCTTCGTCTCTCCAAATGTTTGTCTGACGCAGAAGTAGATTAGTGAATTAGTACTAATTTAACAGATCTTTTCAATAGAAAAAAACCAACAACTTTCAGTAACAGACGTCGAAGTTTTACGTCCTTAACACGTCCCTGCGACCATAGAATTTCAAAATTTTCAGGGGGAGCATGCCCCCAGACCCCCTAGGGGTCAAGGCCCTCCGGGCCTTTCCAGTTCTTTGCCCAGGTGTCAAAGTCAGTTGCCCTCCTGTTGAAAACCTTAATGAACCCCCTGGTAGAAGCGGTAGATGCAATCAATCTAGTGTACCGAAAAGGTTTTGACGAATATCTCACAATCACCTTGCACTTTGGTGAGTAAACACCACACGGTTAACTTTAAAAAAAAATTTAAAGTTCACAAAAAGTCACAGTCCTGGTAACATACAAACACTGTATTTTACCCTCCCTTAACCCTTCAAGTCCCAAGGAGTGACCAACATGAGTTTTATCCTAACATTTTCAATACATACATGTACTCAAGAAAAAAGTTATGAGAATAAATAAAAATTAATGTTTACCTAAAAATAAAATTTTGAATTCTTATATAAAATTCTCTGACAACTTATTCTTAAAGGTAATGTATAGAGATCAGCGAATTTGTATGTGGACATTGGGGCATGAAGGGTTAAGTATGAGGGCCACCACAAAGATTTCAAGTTACTGTAAATCTTCTATTAAACCCCACCTCTCAAATTAGCCCCCTCCCTCTAATAAGCCCACCCCCCTTTTCAGGGGAAAAAAGTCCATAAGCCCCCCCTCTCTATTAAGCCCCCCTCCCCTGCCCTACTTATTCTTCACTAATAGATGATAGACTGTATTAATCAATCATGACTGTTAAACTTCGTGTGGACTGATCCAGGATGGTTTACCATATCTGGAAGTTCAAATATGATTCTGATCCTCAGCTGTATATGACCTAAAACTTCTTGTACTTGAGCTTTTCCACTTTGTTTTCTCGTTCTTTATGGAGAACTGATACCATTGTCATTTCTACATGTAAATTAAATAAGCCCCCTGTCTCTATTAAGCCTCCCCCCTCAAATGAGCTTGAAATAAATAGACCCCCCTGGTGGCTTAATAGAGGTATTACAGTACTGAGTATATGTTATAAGTAGGAGAGGAGGTGATCAGCTAGAGAAGTTAGCTATGGTTAGCTATGGTTTATGGTTGTAGTAGCCGCGGAGGGGGGGGGGGGTTACCCTGGCCCCTAGACCTAAGCGACAACCCCAAGAACGTCACACTTCTTCTAAGCTGACACTTTTTCTGGGCCCAGTTCCTTTGCAACGGTTGGGTAACTTTCACCCATGGCCAAGACAAATTGTATTCTAGGTACGGGGGTGGGGGATGGGAGTGGTCTGGAAAGCATCCAAATCATTTTTGAGACACATACATGCAAGGGAAAATTTTTACCTTTCAATTAAACAAAATATCTGTTTATCAAACAAGACTAGACTTGTTAAATCATGCAATTTATGGAATTCTGCAATACTATTTTTAGGTCTGTTGGCCCAAAAACAAAAAATAAAATAAAATAATAACAACTCAGTTACTTATAATAATCACATTTCAACATAGAGCATACTTAATAGGGAATTTTTACTTTTTTATCAACGGCCAAGACAAGTGAAATAGATTTCATAAAATTTTACAAATTATTGAACCATTAGAGCTCATAAAAGGTAGTTTCTGCTGAGCCATTCACTACATAATTGGCAAAAATTGCATTTATGTTAGCAAATGAATATCTTAAATAGTTAATTGTAGAATTAAAGCCGGTTAGTACGTATCTGCCTAAATTACCATTTTCTTGTAGAGTCCTGAAAAACTTTCTAGATCCTTTGGATATTGAAGGAGTACATTTTACCATCTGGGAGATAACCTGTTAAGAGAGAGAGCAAACAACATTTTTATTTTACTGTACATGTACATGTAAATTTACCACAGACTGCTTAACAATTCATTAGAATATTTTACTAGCCAACTAATTTTCTTCAAACCTCAAGACATCACCACAATCAAGAAGCCATCCTTTATTTTACATGTACATTTAAATACTTACTTGTAACTAGGTTTGTATCTAAACTGTCAAAAAACTGAGGTTCAGTACCAACTCTTATGAACATACATGTAAATGGGATGAGGAAAAGGGTAGACCCCTTGGAGAAAAATGCAAACTAACATGACAGAGGTAGCAGCCCCAATACAATGCACTTGGGTTTTACTATTGGCCAGTGGCCCACTAACCACGTCAGCCTGGCTGCCCGATCTTGAGGAGGAGAGCTGCTGTGAAACATGGGTTGAGGGCTGGGCCATGGGCTGTCAGCAACAGGCCATGGGCCCTTGGGCTGCAGCCTACTTTTACATGTATTAAAACTGCCACAGTCTAATGCCTTTGACTAATGCCTTTGGGAGGAGGGACACAGTTGGAACTGAATGAGCTATTATGATGACGATTCAACCACCTCTCACAAGAATGAAAATAATAACATTGCTAGCCTTCAAGCAAGCTCTCCATTAAAGGAATAATGAGAGAAGTTACGTGTGAGTAGCACGTGAGAACAAGGTGCGAGGAAGAAAGGGAAAGCTCTTTTTTCCTCCACCCCACAAGGCTTCGTCACTCACTCACACGTTCGCTTTCCACTCAAAAATTGAGAGGTTGCTCCCAGGCCATAACATTATTTTCTTAGTACTCATTGTTTTCGCTATTCCCTGAGCCAGTTTGTGTTAGGAATTCCAAGGAAAAACTCGAGCTATTTACACACAAAGCAATGCCCACTATGACTCCACCTCTCCTTTTTAACCCATTTCAACTAACCCATTATTAACAACACTACAGCACTCACGCATGCCTGACACACCAAAAAATCCTCACATAAGCATGTAAAAACAATGCCCAGGTCTATGCTCCGGTAGTGTCTTGTTACATTAAGATTATATTCTTTGACCCAAACACAATAAACAATCCATCACTTATTCTTATCTGATAATCTCATAAACGCAACCAGCTTGCATTAACCCTCTAAGCCCAAATATCCACATACAAATTCTCCAAACTGATCTCTATACATTTCCTTAAAGAATGAGTCGAGAGAATTTGATAAAAGATCAAAGCGTTTTCTCTTAGGTGACCATTTAATTAATTCTCATAACCTAATCTCTTGACATTGTATAGATATTGTTAGGAGAAAATTAATGTTGGTCACTATTGGGAATTAAAGGGTTAAGAGAGTTTCACAGTATAAGCGTATTTTACTTTCGTCAAATTCAAAGAGGAATGGTGGTCATGGTATGGTTCAATTAACCCACGCAACATCCATAAGAGAACAAATTACCAATATACATATATATCTTATAGAGCAAACAATAATTACTATTGTTTTATAAATCACATATACACGAATGCTTTTACACACTTACAGTCTTCGATAATGGTCTTTTGCGGCTCCATCCTAACACAAAATAGACAGGGTAGTTGGTATAAGTTTCATCTATCTGAATGATCTTAGCAATTGCAATGATCTGCATATAGAAACCATCTTTAAGAGAGGTCTGAAGTTTACTTCAGAAAACGTTGTGTCAACAGTTGAGATACATGTAGTTTTTATTTTCTAGTACAATTTCAATGGAAAAGGCTGTAACTCACACTGCTGTGCAGTCACTGTCTTTTCATACTTTTTCCATTTTTTCAGGCTTAAAGAACAACAAATACATGTCTGGCAAATCAACCTTATTCCAAGAAAAACTCCTTTAACCAAAATGACTTTCTGGCAAAACAAGTGGATACCATTTCCACCTGTCATTGCCCTGAAAGGCTTCTTTTATCCCACCCCATTGCTCCGATTATGCTTTCTTGTCTTACAGCAAACTGTATGTACCATGTTGGGCAGTTTGGAATTGAATGGTACTGACTGGTACATTATCTCTCCAGGCTCTGAGTGGTTTGCAGAGGCCTCTGAGGCACAAAGAGGCTCTTTTCACCAATTATACATGTAAACTGTTAATGTAAATTACGTGGGTGAACTGGGTAAAATGGGTGTGTGTCCAACTGTCAATCAATCACCTGGTAAATCCCTATGCATGACTGATTCAAGAAAATCAGATGGCGACATCAGGTACTGTCCATCCACCTCAATGCTCGCAAACTGATCGAATCTTGTCTTTCGCCGAGTTTGATGACCATGGTCCGCAGATTTAGCATGAACAACACTGACAGAGCAGTTGTTGTTTCGCCTAGTTGATTTCCAAATCAAGCAACATCCCACTCCGCTAACTCCTACAAGTGTAGCGCGAAATAAAGAAGTTTTACTTGCTAAAGAGGAGAACATTGTGGAGAAAGATCAGAATATTTAGAGGATTATTTTCATGAAACGCCCTCATAAACATCGCTTCTCATCACAACTTCTCTTTCGATGCGAGTCGAACAGAGAACGACGGCGAAAGACTGGGTGCTAATAAAAACCGCTGACCAACAGCGTTGTTTTTCATTCTTCTGTTTATCCTCTTCATAGCCCCTCTTCATTCATCTCAAGAACTGAAGAAGGATTAATCAGCAGCTGTAGTTGTAAACCGTTCGCTTTATTCACTTGTTGAGCGATTGAAATGGCCTCAGCAGTAACAGATTACTGTAGAACACTTGTAAGTGCTCATAGTTTCTTTTACGTCCGAAATGCTTTTTGTTTACCTTGAATTCTTCAAACTTCAGGGAGCGGATGGGAGGCAACTTCGACTCGCAGGCCATGTTGGATTTGACAGCTTACCCGACCAGCTCGTGAATAAATCAGTCAATAGAGGCTTTGCTTTTAATATTCTCTGTATAGGTGAGTAAAAGGTTATTCTTTAAAACCTTCATTTTAAATTTGCTCTCTTTGTTTTGTTTTGTTTCTTTTTTGGGGGAGAGAGCGAAAAACGCCGATACAATCATCTGTCAAATCAAAAGCGAGTACGTGAGGAAGAGTGGTATTAGCCCCGTAGTTGTCTGTATGATTTTATCTCTCTTTTTTTTTTTTGCACAAATGTTCAGATTCCTTTATCTTTCCTTTGTTTTTCAGGCGAAACAGGAATCGGAAAATCGACTTTAATGGATTGCCTTTTTAAGACTGCTTTTGAAGGTGTGTGTACATGTAATTGAGCGTGAGAAAGTAATGTAAGCTGAAGTCTTATATATCCTCTTTAAATTCCTCACAAGCCTTTGAGTTTACTCAGAGGAAGTGAGTAAGCGTGCCTAGTGCAATATTTATAGTTCGAATATTATTGTGATAGGCGCGGCTATTCTCTCAAAACTAGTAAATTTTGCATGAAGAAAACCCAGCTGTACTTGAAGGAGACATGGTAATTTATT